AGTCCCTGGAAAAAGAACTTCAGGATTAGTGAAGTAGAGGGTCACTGAAAAAGAGGATGGATTGACACAATGGTAGCAGCATGTGGCACAGACATCACAAATGTGAGGCTGGTGCAGGACCAGGAAATGGTTCATTCTGTTGCACATTCCGTTGCACATTCTGTTGAGATGGAACCAATTCAACTCAAGGACACCTAACAACAGTAAACAAGAGCAATCCAATGACTGTCCGAAGTCGGTGGTCAGGAGGTTGTCTGCCCTTTAAGTCTTGACCGTCTTGGATGCCCAAGAGAGAGTTAGCCTTGAGTATGAATTGACTCAGTGGTAGTGGGCTTGGGGGTTTATTATTACTATCTTTACAGATCTGATCTTTCTCTTTGGGGATTGGAAACATTCCATCTACATGTACTAATGGATTTTAATGTACACATACGTAAAAACACACAGATCTACTATGATGGTGAACAAGAGTTGGACAAGGTTGATGTTTTGTCAGCTGTGGTAATAACTTCACTTTTGGAAGGTTCTGGGTCATCTGGATCATTCCTGGGAAGGGGGATGGCATTTCTAATCCGAAAACATCATACATTTCAACTCACTGGCCGCCAAATCTGCCTATCAACTTTAACAAATTTGGGGCCAAGTTTTCAAGCAACTGAAGTCCCTGGTTTCGTTCAGAAAACAAAAACTCTGCAGCAGTATTCTGAACTGTACATCACAAACTCAAACATCTGCCAGTGAACACCTGAGAATGAGAACACCAGCAAATTACAAGCTGCAACACCGTCTGTAGTACATCTTACCGGCTATAAAATGTATATAAATGGGGCCGTTCAAAGTGTGGCTCATGAGACCTTGAATATGCGGCAAGCCAGGGGCAGCCAGCACCAGTCTAAAGGTTGGTGGTTTCAAACCCACCATCAAGTGTTATGCAAGAAAGACCTGAAGATCCCCTGTCGTCAAGATGCCAGTCAAACAAACTCTGTGGGGAAGGGCTCCTCTGTAACACATGAGTCTTCAGGGCTCCGATTCAATTTGATGCCGATGGTTTCCAAGCCACCATCTCCTCCTCCCTACATGACCCAAACAGCTGTTGGGTTGATTAAATATATCGGGATCAGTTATTATCAGTGTTATTTAATTTGATTTAAACTACAAACTGTCATTTCTGGTGACTTTTGGGAAAGGTAGAGGTTCCCTTATTAATTCTCAGTTCCAGATGATGAGCGATCGATCTTGGGCTATAGCATCCAAGTTGGACTTATACTGGCAGCTGCTATAGGATTCTCAGCAGAGGTGGATGAGGATGGGGGCATTTTCAGGAGGATTTTGAATCCAACACTTTGTCAACAAAGTTGTAGTGGTCAAAACTGATTTGGGAATGTGAGGAAACAGAAGGAATCCAGCTCCAGTCCAATGGCCCCCGTACACCTGCCTGGTGGCCCCCTCTAGGCCCCAAAGTGCTGCATGCAATGCAATTACTATTGAGGGAGCCAGGTACAAAGAGAGTCCCATACGGATATTAGCAGGATTTGCTGGTGTCTGGGGAAGATTTAAAATTAGCTGGTTGCTGTTCACATCAGAGGCAAGCTGGGCACATTCAGTTTTTAATCTGGACCAATTTTCCGGATCAAAAACTAGTCTTTCCGAGGGATGTAAATGAGCCCAGGAGACAATTTTCCCCTGAAGTAAGTTCATGAAGTAGCTGTCATTTTCATCTGAGCAGCTTGCCAACCTGAAAGGCAGTCTGAGCAGAATTAGAAAGCAATGGAAACTTCTAGGCTGTACCGTATCGAATATTTTTACTTAAAAGCTCATAAACTTAAAAAGTCAAAGTATTTAAAAGGTCACATCTCCACTACCCAAACCTTATCTATGCTTCACCAGGAATATGCCTCAAAGACACAAGAGACCAAGGTGCTATGTCCACGGCATACATTTCAGACTGAGACCCTCGAGGAAGCTGAAAGAACCTATTGTTAGAGGAGTGTCTACAAACAGGGGAGGGGAGGGGGAGGAAAGAGAGAGAGACGTATGGGGAACTGCAGGAGCAGTTGGAGACAGCAGGCTTTTGCAAAATGGTTTTCTTTCCTTTCTTTCCACCCCCCTAATGCTGCTGCAGTGGGTTGCGATTCATCCTTACAAGATTCATCAGAAGACAGGAAGAGGCAGGGAAGTGGGATGGGTGGAAACGGGAAACCAAGGAGGCAAAGGATAGCCATGGTGCTTAGTAAAGTGAAAGGTCAATGAGAGGAGGATCCAGGATAAGATGGACTGACGCAGCAGCTGTACAAGGGGCTCGCGGGGGCACCACCCAATTGTGAGGATAGCCCAGGGGTCAGCAGCGTTGGGGTCTGTTGGGCAGGGGGTCATTCTGATCGGCACCCACTCAACCACAATAGCAAGTGCGAAGAGTACTGTTATTGGGAGTAGAGTGCAACTCCCAAACTCAAATGTGTGCACATTGCTAGCAAAAATCTAACTTGCTCTATAAACTCCCATTCAAATATCTCTCTCTGTCTCTATCTCTCTCTGTCTGTCTGTCTGTCTGTCTGTCTGTCTCTCTCTCTCTCTCTCTCTCTCTCACACACACACACACACACACACACACACACACACACAACTTTAAAAAAACCCTGCACACTGCACTCCAGCTTAAGAACTATAGCTATAAGGATGCGCTGTTCCAAACTTATGACACGGTGGTTTGAGTGGAGAATCCCACTGAATGCAATTGATCAGGTGATCTCCATTTTAAGGATGGCTAGAAAGAAGCCTTTCCTTAAAGCCATGTAATTGTGTGCATGGCGGGAAGGGAAACGATGTAATATATCACCACGGACGACCGCCACTCTCTAGAAAGGACTGAAGAACCCAGCCATGGCGTGGATGACTGCGATGATCCTACATTTCCAGGCAAGTAGCAAAACACCTGTGATGACGGCCTCCTCAGCTGGAAGAAAGAGCAGGGGCTAAGGGACTGAGGGAGAGTCAGGAGTCTGGGTGACCTCTAAATTGTGGCCTTACCTCAATTTCAGGGCCCAAGGGCAATCTCTAAATGCCTCTCCCCCTCATTTCAAGATGCAGTAGACAAAGATAAGAACTCAGAGTCAGCAGAACTGCCTTCTCCCTTTTAGTCTAGCTGCCCCAGTCAGGCGCCTTTCATCCTGGTGAGGCCTGGGGTTGTCATGGCCTGTCTCCTCAAATAGCCTCCCCAGTACTTGTGCCCCCTGGGCAAATCTGTCCTGTGCTCTGGTGGTTAAGCCTCTTGCTGTCTCCGCACGCACACTCCCTCCCCCTCCCTACTCCTCTGGGTGATGACTGTGATTGACCAAGGTTATGGGCTCTCCCAGGTTAATAGAAAGTGCTCGGTGGCGCCCCCTTGCAATCGTAGCCCAGAGCACCTGCCTTACCTTGCCACCCAGCAGCTAAACCTCTGCGTCTGGGCGATGGTGTCTATCTTAGCAGAGAGGCAACAAGTCCTGTTTCCAAATGGAGGGATCCGGAGCAGCGAAAATATTTAAGCAACTCCATGGAAGCCTGCCAAGAGTGTTTTCTTCGCGGCGTGATAAATGTCCCCGGTTTTGCCTCTTTCTTACAGAAACATTCTTTGTGAAGACAAACTGCGCTTTCTGCGAGTCTTTTGCAGCCCGCATTCAAATAAAGTTATACGGTTTTCCATTGTTCATAAGATATAATTAATCCCATAAGACAACCTCGCTTACGAAGTAAACCAAGAAAAAAGCTGATTTCCCCCTCACACACACACCGCCACCCCAAATTCTAAATATAGTCCCAATAAAGAAGAATAAAAATCATTACTCAGGATACAATGTTTAGAACTTCATTGTTGAGAATGCCCTACTTTGAATAACCTAACGGACTAGATCAAAGTACACACACACAGACTAACAGCTATGGTGACTTTTACCTACAGAACTAGCGGAACTGCAAGTTACCGGGATTTCAAAGTCTCTCCAATCCTTTGTCAGAGTCTAAAATCATGGTGTAAATAGCAAAGCGAAGACCCAACTCCAGAACCTGGGAAATGAACCCCTGGTGTGCGCCTTTAGCGAAAATGGCTCCAGAGTCTAAGAGGACCCCACAGCGTCGTGCAAACCCCACGCGGTGCACGGGCTGGGCGGGGACGGGCAGGAGGGACTCCAGGCAGATGTGCACAGGAAATGGCAGGACTCCGGACAATGTGAATTCAATCAGATGTTTTGAGAGACCGCAGGAGCTGGCTGTTCCACTCCTCTGCACAGTTGCAATCTAATTAAGACAGCATGATCGCGCTGCCCCAGCTCTCAGCTCTCGGTGATCAAACACAGAGCCCTCCACCTCTCCTGGGTCTGGGAAAAGACATCCTTCTTGTAACAAATAAATATCCCTGGAACCGCCCGGGCTGGGGGGAGGGGTGCCGAAGCTCGCGTCTTTTCGCAGCTCCGGCTGAGCTGCACCCACCCAGTTGGGCCGCTGCTCGTCCCGGTGCGGAGGGAGAGGCAACGTGTTGCCCGTTCGCACCCTTGACCAGGTCCCCGGCAGGGGCGCGCGGGGCTTGGGGCTCCGGGGAGCCCTGGAAGCTTTACCTTGTTTGCGAAGAGCCGTCCGGAGCGACAGAGCACCAGGTCCCAGGGTGGAAACAAGGAGCAAGAGCCGGAGCAGGACGCCTCGCATTAAATCCATTTCCCAGCCGGCGTCGGCAAAGTTTCCCCAAGTCCCAGGCGCACAGGGACGCGAAGGGCGCAGACCCCGGGGATCCCTCGGCCTGGGCGAGAAGGTGGGCGGCTGAGGGGGCTGGATCGGGACGGCGAGGGAGTCTAAGGAGGCTGGACAGCCGCGGGAGGGAGGTCGGCTAGCAGATTGGAGCCGGCTGCTACCAGCAGGGCTCCTTTGGGGGCGGGAGGGGGGGCGGAGGAGGCCGACGGGGAGGGCCCGGCTGGAAGCAGAGGGAGGGGGCTCGATCGGGGGCGGATGGAGTTACTTGTAGTGTAATTGAGAGGGGCAGGCTCTGGGACCAAGTCCTCTGTACCCACCCCACCCACCCGCCCTCGGGGCAAACGGCTCCTTTCTCCCTCCCCCGCTCCTCTCTCCAGCCCAGTCCTGGCTCGTTGGCGACTTGGATCTGGGGGGTCAGGGAACCGATTTCAATCGCCACAGGAGGACGTCGATGGCAGGTCCGCGTCCCTCGGCCTTAATCGTGACCCTGAAATCTGGCCGGGGCTCCCCACCTCTCCTGGGCCGCTCCTTTCCTCGCTAGGCGACTTTCCCCAACACCTCCAAAGGTTGCGCTCCCGCCCCGGCAGCCGGCGCGCCAGACCAGACCCAGGTGTGAGAGGTGGGGGTGGGGGCTGGAGGAGCGGCCAGGGCACCCAGCGGGGAGCTAAGGAGATAAGGGTTTAAGGCGTTGCGCAGATGGAGAGCTGGAGCCGGCGGCTCCGACGGAAAGGCAGGGAGAAGATCAAGGCCCTGTGCGGGGAACAAGGTCCCCTCCCTGGAGGGGATGGCAACTGGAGACTCCAGCGGAGAAGAAACGGCAGATGGTGCCCGGAGTCCATTGGGAGGACGGGAGCTCAAGGGACTGAACGGCGCGACTGAGGAGGGGGTGCGTGAGCAAGATTCACCCCAGGATTGGAGTTTCTCGCTGGGCCGCCATGGGAACGCCCGCCCGCCCCCTTCTCTGGATTTGCTGCTTGCAGACTCAGCAAAATGCGCCTTTTTCATTTGGTTTCCCCGTGGCGCTCCCAGTGCGCGTCCTGGGGACACAAGTTCCTGGGCACACTAGCGTTTTG